CGCATCGACGTGAAACCACTTCATCGCCGCGAAGGACATGAGCACTGCCATCGGCAAGGTAATCGCAATGATCAGGCTCGACCGGACGTTGAGCAGGAAAAGAACTACCACGGCAATCGTGATGAGAATTTCGTGACTCAATGCGTCGGTGAGCGTAGCGACTGTTTCATCAATCAGTTGCGTACGATCGTAGATGCCGAGGATTTTGATTCCCCCCAGTTCGCTTTCCAGGGAAGCGATCTTCGATTTGATGCGCTGAATCACTTCGCGAGGATTCTCGCCGTAACGCATGACGACGACGCCACCCACGGTCTCACGGCCGTTCAGGTCGATAGCACCTCGCCGAAAGGAAGGGCCTACCTGCACTTGCGCGAGGTCACGAACGCGGACCGGTATCCCGTCGCGAGTCTGAATAACGGTATTCTCGATTTGCTCAATCGTTTCCGGCTCAGTCTTGCCTGCGCCGATGAATCCACGTCCGCGGACAATGAACTCCATCCCAGACGTCTCAACCGTCTTTGCACCGACATCGATATTCGAGGCCTTCACGGCGTCGATGACGAGGCTCAAAGGAATGTCGTGGAAACGCAGTTGGTCGGGATCGACTTCGACCTGGTACTGTTTGAGGTAACCTCCGATCGAGGCAACTTCCGCGACACCATCGACCGACTGCAACGCATACTTCAGGAAGAAGTCTTGCTTGGAACGTAATTCGGCGAGGTCCATTTCAGGCGGACCTTCCAGCACGTAGTAGTAGATTTGCCCTAACGCCGTCGCGTCCGGGCCGAGGCTCGGAGTCACGCCTTCAGGCAGTTGATTGCCGAGGGCCGTAAGCTGTTCGGCGACACGCGATCGAGCCCAGTAAAAATCGACGCCATCGGCGAAGGTTACCTGGACAAAGCTGAAGCCAAACATGCTTTTTCCGCGGACACTTTTCGATCCTGGCACGGCTTGCAGGCCGATCGATAGCGGATAGGTGATTTGGTCTTCGATGTCCTTGGGAGACCGGCCTGCCCATTCGGTCAGGACAATGACCTGGTTCTCGCCAACGTTGGGAATCGCATCCAGGGGAACCTTGTAGGTGCAGTACCAGCCAAAGGCGGCCAGGGACACCGCGGTCAGTAAAACGAGTAAACGTTCTTTCAGGCAGAATTGAAGGAGACTTTGAATCATCGGACGACCTCCACGGGCTGAATTACGGGGGTCGCGATCGATGGAGTTGTCGGCCCATCGCTTTCAACAGGAACGGCTACCGTGTTAGGTGGTAGTTCAGGAACAAGGGGAATCTCTTGAATGGGGCCGATCGGCGGCAAGTCAGGTGCGCTCTCTGATTGGGTTCCGCTATCTTTATTGTCGAGGACCGCGAGATACTTCTCAGGCTCTTTCATCAGCGAACCGCGACATCCCTCGCAGCATAGGAACACCGTGCGGCCGTTTACTTCGGCCTTAGGTGGTGTGCCCATCGAGCCCAAGGCCATCTCGGTAACTGGGCAAATCTGCTGGGCAGTGGCCAACGTCTTGTCCTTAGGCGGCAACTTTTCGAGAGCAGCCAGCATCTCAGGTGACAATTCTTCAGCTTCCGGAGCGACATACTTCTCCGGGTTGATCAGGGAAGGGTTCCCGGCAAGCTGCATTTGAGAATCGATTAAGAAGTTTCCTTTGATGGCTACCTTCTCGCCGGGGTTGATACCGTCGTGAATCGCGATTCTATCCCCGCTTTGATGACCTAGAACGACTCGCCGAATCTCAAATCGTCCTGGCTCTGTTTCCACGTAGACAACGCTATTTTTACCAGCCATCAAAACCGCACTTCGAGGCACGGATACGGATTGGGTTTCCTCTTGCGGTTGGTCAGCAAACCCAAAATGGGATGCATGGACGAGTTCGAGGTTACTGATGGGGCACTTGCCAGGCTGGTCGAAGATTTGATTCGGAAACCGTGGGCTGATCCACTTGTTGGCTAACTGCTGATCGTATCTGCGCAACTGTGGACCGGCTGCCGCGGGAATGCGAAGAAAGGCCGTTGCGAAGTCGCCAACTTTGAGAAGGCCTTCTTCATTCGGCAGGG